TTGTCCATTGGTGATAAAATTTTAAAATTAAAGTTGTGGACGAAATAATTATCTTATGTGGTTCACAATCCATTTAATTAATTGACATTGTCAAAAATTATTTAATAACAACATTTATGCATTGAAGATGCTCTAAGAGTTAATTGTTTTGGAGTAAAGTAACATCTCCACTAAACCAATCAAATGTGTTTTATAAAGAGCTTGACAGCGCACATGCTGATGATACTGTTTTCGGTGGTAGTATTAGACTATTATCGATGTAGTTTAATACTACCTCATATCTTTAATATATGTCGTTTTGAGAAGTTACACATTCATTAAAAATATTTTTTTCGTCAATAATAACCTTATTTAATGAAGATAGAGATGAATGTTTTGAAAAAGATGAAGAATGCATAATGTATTTATTAGCTAAATGAGAGTAATAATGAAAAAATATGCACAAAGATCCAAAAACGACATTTATTTGGTTAATAGTTGATAAAGTTAAAATGATATATAAAAAAAATAGGACGGAGTCATTTATTTTTATAGGAATTATTTACAATGTAGTAGGGGTGTTCACGGTCCGGTTTTAACCGGAAAAAAACGTCAATCCGGACCGCGGATCGGTTAAATGGTCGGTTAAAAAAGCCTTAAAAAATCCGGTGGTTAATTTTTTTAAAAATCCGGAATAACCGGTCCGGTTAACGGATTACATGCGGCAAACCGTCGGTTTAACCGGACCGGACCGGTAAATGTTAAAAAACTATAACAAATATATATATACATTCAGTCATTCACTATGGCCGACAAATACAATAAATTCACTATCATTTTTTGGCTTTTTTGCATAATTTAATCTTCATCATTTTTATATTTTTATGTTTACGAGACGAAATGTGTATTTTTATGCTTATAGGACGAATTATATATTTATTTCATTATTGTTGTTTTTCCTAATTTTTAGGCCCAAATAATCTTTTTTGGGCTCAAAATTGAAAAATGAAAATTAAGCCCAAAATGAAAAAAAAAAAATTGAAGGCCCAAAACAAGAATTTTGGATTTAACCGGTTAACCGCCAAACCGGACCGTCCAATGCGGTTCGGATTGTGGCCGGTTAAAAAATAAAACCGGTCCGATTATGGACAAGAAAAAAAATTAACCGTTAAGTCTGGTTTGATCATGATTTGGGCTAAAACCGGACCAATCCGGTGAACACCCCTACAATGTAGTAATAAAAAAGTAATAATAAAAAGTGTAAATGGAGCATTTATCGGCGGCCAATCCGCACAGCATAGATTGGTGCGATAATAATAATGTTAAATAAATGATATTTAAATGCTGGAAGAAATGGAAGCTGGCACCCACTTCTATTTTTGTCCAACCAAACTCCATCCCTTTATCAATCCTACAGTTTCCACGTTAAGTAAATTGCACACACCTATCATATAAACATGAGATAGATGTAGAAGAATATCTCCATTTATATATTAATTCAAAACTTGTTGAGGTTAGGTGGTAGATTTTCAAGTTTCGAATACTTGACATGGCGAAAATCTATACTTCGTGATGTTGTTTTTATATTATTTTTGTTTTGAAGTTAAGTTTGATATTAGACATAAATAACTTTACACATATTAACTCGCACCCATGTTACATGAGTATTAGTAGTAGTACTGATTTATGGGAAATGATACACAAACAAACAGTCAAACACACACCTATGTCAACATTCTTTGGTCTACTTAATAATTTTCTAGTGTACAGTTAGTCAAAAAGCTTAACTGTAGCCGTATTTCACTCTCTAATAATAGGTCGGCCCGTGAACCGGTCCTAGTTCGGCCCGAACCGGCCCAGAACCGTCCTCTTAAGGGTCAGTTCCTTGAACCGGAACTGTAAGTTTACGGTTCGGTTCTGGTTCATAAACTTTTAGTTTTGACCCGCCGGTCACGGGCCATAATATTGAGGCTCGCAGACCCGGCGGGTCGGGCCATGGCCCGGCAGTTGGTCACCTCTAAAGAAGATGATAGATTGTGGAATGGAACTGAAAAGAATCGAAAACCGTTGGTTCGAATGGAAACCAATAGTTCGAAACTTAACCGTTTGTTCAATAGCTGACTACGAATTGATAATGGCTAGTTACGGTTAAGGTTCCGAGTTTCTTACTGACAATAATCGTCGAATTGACAAACCTAATTGGTCTGTAACCGGAAACTTGTCTAGAATTCGAACCTTGTATATCATTCAAATTAAGTGGAGCAAAACTAATATTATGTACTTACAGAAGCTTTCTGTAAGTTGGATATTTTAGAACATGTGTTCAGTACAAATTAACACACCTTATTTTAGTATCCAACTGATGTTTTTTTGGAAAACATGTGTTAAACTGATTTAATTTCTGTAGCTTTACAACGTCTCCAATGGTATATTGCATAGTTTTTAAAACCGGCCCGGTAATCGACCCGGGCATGTCTTCGGGTCACCGGGTCACCGGTTCAACCGCCGGGTCACCGGATCAATTGCTGAACCGGATAATTAATTTTATAAAATTATATATAGAGTATTTTGTGATATATAAATATACATAAAAATAACAAATTTAAATATTTTGTATGTAAAATTTGTAGATTAAAGTGGTAATAATATGTATATATTTATTATATACATATATATACATAATTTTATTTTTTAAAAAGAAAAAGAAAATTTAAAAACAAAAAAAAAAAATTACATATAGACCGGGTCAACCGGGTTGACCCAGCCGGGTCATTGTCCCGGGTCGACCGGGTCAAGGCCGGGTCGTCCGGGTTTTGACCGGGTTTGACCGGGTCCGTTGTTGCCCGGTCTAATTAACCCACCTGGACCGGTTCCGACTCCGGGTCGACTGGGTCCCGGGTCGACCCGCCGGGCCGGTCCGGGTCACAAAACACTGGTATATTGTTCATTTGGAAATGTATAACATAGAAAAAGAAAATTATAAAATTATGTCTCTAACAGTTGATGTCAACTCCAATATAATTTAACATGTGTAAAATTATAATTTGCTGGAAATAAAAGATATTTAATAAATAATTTAATATAGAATAGAGTAGAATAGAGAATGCTTAAAAGTATTTCCACGTCTAAAAAAACTTCTAGACATTTTCAATGACACTTAAGATTTTTCGGGCCATAACATTAAATTGAACAATCCATATACCATTGGAGATGGTCTTTTAAAGTCGGTATCAAAACTACGACGTACTCTGCTCAAAATACTAATAAAAATACATGTAATCTAACGCACAAAAACGGAAATCAGTCCAACCAGCTCTTCCAATTCCAAGAAAGACGGCCAAAAAATAACAAACTTCAAAATCCATCCTTCCAACATTTCCCAAGACCAACAACAACAATAAAATATTAAGAATAACAAAAAACCATCAACCCAAAAAAGTTCTCGTATAAACCCCCCAACCAGTTGCAACACTTGACCAATTATTAAGTGAAGCATGGTAGAAACTTAACCACCACATAAACCCTCACCGCCCGTCGGCTGACGTGAAAGAGTCGGCAAAGCCAGATGGCCTGGTCGGAATACTCGTCTGTGTATTATCACCGCTCCCGATGTAAGAAGACGAGGCATCAAAGCCGCTGTCCCCCTCAAGGGCCTGCCACTTCTTCAGAGCTTGAGGCAGAGTCATGTCGTAGTCGATGCCATAAACATCATCCGGGTCAGCGGGCTCAGAGGGCTTCCATAGCTCAGCCAGACCAGAGAGTACGTTGACTGCATGGCCCATGTCGGGCCTCTGGTGGGGCTCACGGGCTGTGCAGTGGCCTGCAAGCTCGGCCACAGTCGAGATGGAGGCGAGGGTGTCATCGTCGAGGTCGAGGGTGGGGTCGATGGCCTTCCGGAAGGTTTCCTTATTGATGAGCATGCGCCGGAACCATGGGACAAGGTGCTGCTGATCGTCCTGGAGATTCTGATCGAGGGCCTTGCGACCCGTGATGGCTTCCATCAGGATGACTCCAAAGCTGAACACGTCGATCTTGGTCGTGACCCGGCCCGTCACTGCCCACCGATTACATCACGTGGAAAACAATTTGTTAGTATAAGGGATGGAGAGAAACACATTCAACTCACAATTGATTTTCTCGTTAGTAATAAATTTTGAAGATAATTAAAACACAAAACATAAAAGAACAAAGAGAAGCGAAAAAATTTGCAACATCCATAAAGAGCATACAATGGGAAAAAGCACCAGATCAACAATTATGACACTTGTTTAATTGTTTAACAAAAGCAGGTTTTATCCACACAAAATCTAACGTGATTCTACCAAAAAAAAAAAAAGAACAGAACCTACAGATCTACAAGACAATAGAACTCACGAATATAAAGTTACCTGCATATTCTGGAGCTAGATAGCCAAAAGTACCAGCTAATCTAGTAGCAACCGAGTTTTTCCCATCAGGAGCAAGCCGAACGAGTCCGAAGTCAGCTACCTTTGCCCTCATATCATCTCCCAATAGTATGTTGGATGGTTTAAGATCCCTATGAATAAAACTCTGCTGAGCCAAACCATGCAGGTACTCAACTCCTCTAGCAACATCAAGAGCAATAGTCAGTCTTCTCGTCCACTCAAGAGGTTTCAAGCCTTCCTCTTTCCAGTCAAACAAGAACCTGCTCAGGGTCCCCTGAGGCATGTACTCATAAACAAGCAGCCTCTCGTTTCCATCCAAACAATAACCCAAGAGAGCCACCAAATGCCTGTGCCGAACTTTTGTAAGCACAGCAATCTCAGATTTGAACTCATCCAAGCCCTTTTCACTCATCACACCAGATTCCATCCTCTTAACGGCAATCTTAGTCCCATCATGCAACTCACCTTTGTAAACAGTTCCAAATCCACCCCTACCAAGAATGTTCTGCTCGCTGAAGTTGTTCGTCACATTTCTCAGTACTTGGATTGAGATCGCCATATTCCCAGCCTCCACAACATGGAGGTCACCAGACCCGCTACTCATGTGGCTATAGGTCTCGCTCAACCCACCACCATTAATGCTAGAACCAGCAATGGTGATCTTCACGGCATCATCTGAGCCCGAGTACCGGGGGTGTATGATCATAGCATGAGGTGACTGAACCTTCCCACTCCTCTTGCGTTTGATTCTGTAAAGGCAGAAAACCAAAGTTCCTGCAAAGAGAAGGACACAAACACCCCCGACTACAGATCCTACAACAACCCCAGTAGAGGATCTTCCCACAATGTTGTTTCCCGAGCTGCTGTTACTCGAGTGTGACCCAGGCGAATTTCCATTTCCACTAGGCGTGCTGGGAGGAGGGGCATCCTTACCAAAATTTGGGTTGTTGGAGGTAATGAGAATCACATTAGGCCCAAAAGGTGGAGGATGTCCATAAATTTGATTGTTTGAGACGTCCAATTTGGCAATGTGAGGCAGGGTTGCCAGCTCATTTGGAATGGTACCCGTCAAGTTATTGTTCGACAAAATCAGTGTTTCAAGGGACTTGATCTGTGAAAAATTACGGGAAATAATTCCACTGAGTTGCAGTCCATGAAAATTCACCACAGTGATATTCCCGTTGTCACAAGTGATTCCCTTCCATGAAACACAGGGGTCATTCCCTTTCCAGTTTTCAGCTAATGTGATGGGATACCCTACGTCCCGTGCCACACTAAGCAAAATATTCACCCGCGCATCACAATCTGCACCAGCTTCGGCCAAACAAAAACTGTTTGTATCCTCGGATATATCCACCTGTACTCGATCATGAAATTTAGGGGTTTTCCCTTGCAGCAGATTATTCGTCAAGTTGACCACTTTGAGAGAGTCCATGTTCACTAAGGAGTCTGGCACAGGGCCAGTCAAGCTATTGTCCCTCAAACTCAAATTCTGCAGTTGAGTCAGGCCAGAGAAATCTGGCAAGGGCCCGGTAAACCCATTGCCGTGTAGCCAAACTTCAGTCAATTGAGTCATGTTTTGCAGAATAGCAAGAGAACCATTCAATTTTGTGCCTTTCTGGCCATTGAGCCACAGAGACTGCACCGAGGAGCTCGCGAGCGTAGATGGCAACGGGCCCTCAAGATTATTAAACGCCAATCTTAGAGTGGTCAAGCTCGGAAATGAATCGGACCCGAAGAAATCAGGGAAAGGCCCGATGATATTAGTCGAGGTTGCAGAAAACGTTTGCATAGCAGAGGCGTTTCTAAGACTGTTGGGGATAGACCAGGCTTGTAAGTCATTGTAATCCAAGTAAACATCTTGCAAAGAAGCCATACCATCAAAGAAATCCGCGGGGATTGAGGTGAAATTGTTGTTGCTGAGTATAAGGGTCTGGAGTGCGCTCAACCCGGCGAGACTCGGCAGCGACCCGGTGAGTTGGTTGCCCTGGACCTCCAAAACCTGCAGAGAAGTTAGGCTGTTGAGGCTCGGAGGAAGAGTCCCGCGAAGATTCTGATTCCCAATTTGGATCCTGACGACTCGCCCGTTGATGCAGTGGACATATTCCCAATTGCACGGGTCAGTGGCGGACCAGCCGAGTAGACCCGAGTTGTTCAGGTTTCTCCTCAAATCCAGCATCGCCGCCGCATCCCCGGACTGAGCGCGGCCGACGGCGGCGAGTAGCGAGCAAAAAGCGAAGAACACCAATCGCGAAGCCATTCGGCGGAAATTCCTCTAAACTTGTCGTTTCTTTCTTCTTTTACGTGGGTTGAGGGAAATCGAGACTATCGAGGAGAAGAGAGAAGAAAAAGAGAAAATGTGAGAGAAGAAAATCAGTATATGTATTATAGTGCATCATGTTTCAATGGTGGAGAAAAGTAGCAGTGCGTCGAACAGTGTGTGTGCTCTTTCTGGTTTTCATAGATGAATGAAAGGAAGAGGAAAAGGAAGGGTTAACGGTGAGAGTGACAAAAGAAAATTGTGTTCAGTGTGTGTGTGTGTGTGTATATTTTTGGGAGAAGAAGGAAAAAAAGATGTCAAAAGGGTTTTTACAGTTGGCTCTTGCGTGTGGGGACCACTTTGAGATATCGATCGATATAATAATAAAAAGAAATTCGGCGGATTTGAAATTTTCCTCTGACAATTTTGCTTCGATATTTTTTTTTGTGAAAATTAATTACGTAGCATTTATGCTCTTTAATTGTTTTTTATTTTGTATTGAAATCTCAACCCAAGAGCTGGCGTCGTTCGGGACGGTGTGGGATTTGATTTATCTCGGTACCTGTGCTGGTTTTTTAAATTGGTCCGGGACCGGTTCGGGTCGAGACCCCGTCTCAAACAGATCGATAATAATAGGGAACGGGACAGAACTGTTCGGGACCGGGACAAAACGAAAAAAAAAATGTTCAGTACTTCTTCAAACTATTCACTGTTTCACTGAAAAAAAACGTTGATTCCGTACCAACTAATTAAACTGCAATCAAGTATTCAAAATTGATCGTGAATGGGAATCAATTGGGAAATTATAATAATGTTCTGTTGTGCCCGTAAATACGTTACTATAGACATCAAAATTTTAATATTTTATTAATTAATGTCTTTATTTATTTTTGGACATAAATCCAAGATAAATAAGATATTTAATTAATAAAGTTATTGTTTCTTGCCCACCAAGACAAATCTTAGGATAAGGAAAGAGATTATGTAAAATCATGAAGGACCAATCAAATTGAAGTCTTCTTCTCCAAGACTTTCTCTCCTACATCTATAAATAGGGCTCTCCTCAATGCCACAAATGACACCTAAAAAATATCAATCACATCTCAAAGATTAAAGTCTCAAATTCAAGGGCTCTCGAGAACCCTCTTGAAGATTTGAGAAAGTTCTTGAAGAACTGCCCGAAGTCCATTCAATGAAAAAGAAGGCCAAGAAGAAGAAAAAAAAGGCAGTGACTCTTCCCCAAGAAGTAAAGACGACTTCCACTCCTCTCAAGTCAATCCAAGAATATCAACGACGTTTAAGCGACATTCAAGCCCGTTCGTTGAAAAGTTCAACCAACATAGCGTTTGATTCGAGAAAAAGCTATCAAGCCCTCGAGTCAACGTTATTCAAGTCAAAGTCCTCTTTCCAAAAGATAAAAGAAACAAGTTCTCTAAGAAGTTGTCTTCAATCAAGTCAAGGCCTAACATTTAATACGGGAATAAGTCATTCGACCCCCAAATTAATGTTAGAGAAATTCAAGACCAAGCCCGAAGGAGGTTCAATCGTCAAATCCATCTTTCAAGATCTCAAACCCAAATCCATGAAGAGAAGAATCAGAGGAGAAAAATAGAGATTGTACTCGCATATCGTTTGATCGAAATATAATCAAGTTGTACAGAAATTTTATTTTTTTCATAAAATTTGTTGTTACAAATTTGGCATGCCCAGTGGGACCTTCTCTACCTCTCATCTCTTCTCTTCAAATCAAGTTCGAAGATCTTTGAAGATGCATGAAGGCCTCTTTGGAGAAATTGTACAAGGGGCAACTAAGGATGATGTCTCATCAAGCCATAAAGTCTTCAGCCGAATGGAGGAGAAACAAAACCGGTCTACCATATTCCTTTCAACTCACATGGGGGGCAATTTACATATTCAAATGCTCCTTGATATGTGCCTAAACTATCCACATATTCAAATGCTCCTTGATACGAGCTTAAACTATCTACATATTCCAATGCTCTTTGATACGAGCCTAAACTATCTACATATTCAAATGCTTCTTGATACGAGCCTAAACTATCCACATATTCTAATGCTACTTGATACGAGCCTAAACTATCTACATATTTCAATGCTCCTTGATAAGAGATTAAACTATTTATATAACTCCTTAACATGAGCATAAAATGTCTACAAAAATAAAGATCTCCTTGACACGAGAATTAAAGTTCTGCAAGTCAAATATCGAAGGCTCCTTGACACAAGCATAAAATGTCTACATATCAAGATCTTCTTGACTTGAGAATAAAAGGTCTACATATCAAATATGAAGCTCATTGACACGAGCATAAAAGGTCTACAAATTCGAATGCTCTTTGATACGAGCATAAAACGTCTACATATCAAGATCTCCTTGACATGAGAATAAAAGGTTTACATATCAAGATCTCCTTGACAAGAGAATAAAATGTCTACATATCAAGAACTCCTTGATACGAGTATAAACTATCTACATATCAAGATCTCCTTGACATGAGAATAAAAGGTCTACATATCTTGACAAGAGAATAAAATGTCTACATATCAAGAACTCCTTGATACGAGTTTAAACTATCTACAAATTCAAGTCGAAAACTCCTAGATAAGAGTTTAAACTATCTGCATGTCCAAACCAAATCCAAAATTTTGAGACTCATTCACTACCAAGACATTTTGTTCGTGAACAAATCTCAAGAGGGCATTTGTAGACATCGAAATTTTAATATTTTATTAATTAATATCTTTATTTATTTTTGGAACATAAATCCAAGATAAATAAGATATTTAATTAATAAAGTAGTTTTTTCTTGCCCACCAAGTCAAATCTTAGGATAAAGAAAGAGATTATATCAAATCTTAGGAGAAGGAAAGAGATTATGTCAAATCATGAAGGACCAATTAAATTGAAGTCTTCTTCTCTAAGACTCTCTCTACTACACTATAAATAGGGCTCTCCTCAATGCCACAAACGACACCTAAAAAATATCAAACACATATCAAAGATTAAAGTCTCAAATTCAAGGGCTCTCAAGAACCCTCTTGAAGATTTGAAGAAGTTCTTGAAGAACCGCCCGAAGTCCATTCAATAAAAAAGAAGGCCAAGAAGAAGAAAAAGAGGCAGCGACTCTTCCCCAAGAAGTAAAGAGACGACTTCCACTCCTCTCAAGTCAATCCAAGAATATCAACGACGTTCAAGCGACATTCTAGCCCCGTTCGTTGAAAAGTTCAACCAACATAGCATTTGATTCGAAAAAAAGCTATCAAACCCTCGAGTCAACGTTATTCAAGTCAAAGTCCTTCTTTCCAGAAGATCAAAGAAATAAGTTCTCCAAGAAGTTGTCTTCAATCAAGTCAAGGCCTAACATTTAATACGGGAATAAGTCATTCGACCCCTAAATTAATGTTAGAGAAATTCAAGACCAAGCCCGAAGGAGGTTCAATCATCAAATCCATCTTTCAAGGTCTCAAACCCAAATCCATGAAGAGAAGAATCAGATGAGATAAATAGAGATTGTACCTGCATATCGTTTGATCGAAATATAATCAAGTTGTACAGAATTTTTATGTTTTTCATAAAATTTGTTGTTACAGTTACTATGTTTAATTTTTTCATTTTATGGGCCAATTGTATTGGGCTTTCATTAATAAAATACAAATCCTGTTAAGAGTTATTTTTATTTATTTTTTTTTCCCCAACGATAGATATAATCTCATATCACAAAATAAAAGAACAATCAAATGACTCACTAGTCATTACAAAAACAATTGGAGAGCCACTCCGAGTAGGTGGCCTAGACCAAACACCAACAAAGCACTAAAGGCATAGACAAAGCTATGAGACCTATGTTGTTATGTGATTTCTAACAACGATGTAACACGTGATTAAGACGAGAATTATGAATGATTTGGACGTAAAGCATGTAGAAATAACTCAACAATGGCCCCGGTCCGAGGTGAACCGAGGTGAAGAGCCGTGATGGGCTTTTGCGTGTTGCATAAGGATGTTTTATGAGTTCGGAGAGAGATCCCCGTACAAATGTCATGGGTTCACTATTTATAGTAACTATTTGGCGAATACATTGGGATTTGCGTACTACTTTTTGTATAAAGTAGCTTTTGGTGGGCGGTTTGGAGCAGTGGGTCCCACATGAATGATGACGAATCTCGTAGAGCGTGATGGTTGTGCGTAGGCGCTCTGTCACCTGCTTGAGGAGGTGACGACCTCGGTGTAAGTAGACCTCGGTGGATATTGGTCACTTCGGTCTTTGGTAGTGCAGACCGGTTCTTTGTGTGAGTCGGTACGGTTTCGGATCACGTCGGTTCAACAGGTAATTACACTTAACAAGATGCTTAAACCCTCTTAATGGTGTTTTGCCGAGTCGGATGATAACAGAGAGGCCCCCAATATTGGTGGGCATACGGAGTGATGGTCATCGATATTGCAAAACATTTAGAGGCTCCGACTCGGTAAAAAGTCAGCGGCAGAGTGTTTATCGTCTTCGGAGAGTCGTCTTCGGTCTCCTGACCGATGTAACCGAGGTAACTGAAGTGAGTTTCTTATTCCGAAGTGTAGACTGTACTCTGAGGTGAAGACACTTGGTGAAATTCGAGTAATTTGCAGGCAGTCGCGACAGGAGAAATGTGAATAGTCGTAACGGTCAACGATTTAATGTTAGAATGAACGGTCGCGCCGTAATGGTCTTGAATGAGGTAACGGTCGGCTTTAATAGGTTGCCACGTGTAACAGTAGGCGTCTTATTAGATGAAGAGGTGGCACCGGTCGGAATTAGGGGTCACGTCGGTGGCACGCGCCCCCAATTAGGATCTCCAACGGTCACAAATGGGAGATTATAAATAGGGTTTTACGACATCTAATCGAGCTTTTCTTCACTTTCACTTGAATCCTTGAGTTTTTGCATCATATTGTTGTTGGAATTCCTTTGAGAGTTGATAGTTATTTCTTGCGCACTGTGTGTTTG